AGCAAAATACATTTTCTTATCATCCTAGAATTTCCTGTTTTCTTGTCTAACCATTATCATGCTTGACTTGCCCCAATAAAAATGAAGCCAATCCCCTAGGATTGGAGAAGGATATAACCTCAGCATCCTATTCCATGCCTGGTGCTTTGCTATGGAGGTCAGACAGAGTCACAGTAAGGAAGGACTTTTTTTTTTTTTATCTCAAAGCAAGAAGCAACACCCAGATAGCCATAAAGTCGGAGCATGCATTACCTTGAGACCAAACTCTTCAAATTCCCGTCTTCCCCTTAGCCTATCCACATCCAAACTCTGCACAATTTGCTAGGAAAGAAAAAAATGACTTCAATGTAGAAGAGATACTCCCCACCCACAGTGATAGCTCAGCTTGGGCTACAAAGAAACAGGTCATAACTTGGGAAAAACTGAAGAAAGAAAGGCCAGCTCTTTACACTGCCTTGGAGAAATCTTCAAGGACACAGAGAAGTGAGAGAAGGTACAGAGCTAGCAGTCTAACTTATTCCTGCCTTTCCCCCTTCTATGCCTTGACCTAAAGACATAAAGATGTTAAATATACTGAGGAAGACCAAAAGAAAGGACGTTCTTTCTCTCTTCCTGTCTGAGTCCATTTCTATTGCTATAACTGAGTACTATAGGCTTAATAACTTATAAGAAAGAGGCTGCTTGTCCTGTGTTCCTAGTCACTTTCTCTTTGCTGAGACCAAATACCTGATACCTAGGAGTTAAAGGAGGAAAGGTTTGTTTTGGTTCACAACTTGTAGAGGCTTTAGATCACAGCTGGATACCCAAAGACAGGATAGCAAAGGGGCTTGACAGGGGAGAGACAGTCCACGATACGGTAGACAGGAGGCAGCGAAGAAACAAGCAGCAGCAGAAGCAGGCTACCCTTCCCTTTTATTCTAAACAAGCTACAAATCTCTCAGCTGGTCAAATCAAGGTGGGGCTTCTGTCTTCAGTAAATCCATTCAGCTACACCCAAGATGCTGGTTCCAGTCAGTGGAGCAACTTAGTGCCACACACTCTTAATCCCAATATCACACACCCACAATCCAGCCAGCTCTGAAGAGCCACACCTCTGAGCACGTGAGGATTTGGGGCACGGGGGGGGGGGGGCAGGAAAATCTAGGTACAAGCCATAACTTTCAGCTCACAGCTTAGAAAGCTGGGAGAGTCAAAGGCAAAGGTTTGGTGATGCCTTTCTTGCTGATAGAGATTCTGCAGAATCACAGGACAGCTGAAGTTATCACAGGAAAAGAGAGATGGAGGGGTCCTAGCACAGGTCTGTTCTCCTTCTTGTAAGGTCATAGTTCTTTTGGGTTAGAACCCCACATTTATGGCATTTACTCTTAAAAGCTTTCCAAAGGTCCCGCCTCCAAATAATATAGTCAGATTAAGTCTCCACCCTCTTGGTTCCACACCACAGGGATTAAATTTCAACATAAATTTTGCTGGTGCCTTTCATACCATAGCACCTCCCATGCTGGGTTTTGGGGGTAGAGGTCAAAATGCAGTCACACAAACAGAGGCCTGCACGGTACTTGTCACTCACTTTCCCACCACTGAGACAATTCCCGCATTTAGAGAAGGAGAGGTTTACTTTGACTCTGTGTGGTCAGCCACCTGCCAAGAAGAAAAAGCATGGCAGAGGCCCATGGCTGCTCACCTCATGGAGCAGGAAAGACAGCTTGAAGGGAGGAGCTGGGAAGGCAGATGCACTGTCCCAGGTCACATCCACAATGATCCACCTCTTCCACGAAGACCCCACCTCCTAAGAGCAAGTCACCTATCATGCCCCATAATCCAGTCAGCTTCCAAACCCATGAGACTTTGGGCATTGTTTTAGATCTAACCTGTAACAGCACTCATGAGCTAACTGCACTACATGCATTGGATAAATATTGAGTTGAGAGACAAACTAACATTACAGCATTCAAATAACCCTATAGAGACCCTGCAGAAACCCTCAGACCAGTCTCCAGTGAAAACTAAAATAAAGTTGAGTCATCAAAGGGAGACGGTGGGGGGGGAGGGGAGCTGGCCATAGCTCAGGCCTTTAAGTGGCTGCTTCTACAAAGCTGTCAGCCTCAGGTTGCTGGAGTTTGAACCTTACACCTCTCCAGCTGGCCAAAAGTGCCCTGAAGGCATTCGAGGAACAAAAAAAAAAAAAAAAAAAAAAAATGGGGCCGGGGAGATGGCTCAGTGGATATGTGCTTCTCTGGCAAGCACAAGAGCCTGAGTTCAATCCCTGGTTCTACAAAAAAAGAAAAAAAAAAAGGGAGACGGACTATCTTTCTTGTGGGTACTGGAAAGCCAAAAGAACAGATCACAAGTTCTGGTCCTATACAGCAAGTTTGGAGGCCACCAGAACACTCATAAATCCGAAACTCAGTGTACCTAGACCATCACCGGAACTGTTGAACAAGAGTGAGCCAGTACAAACCGTACCAGTAGAGGCCAAACATGTCATTTCTGTACAATGTGAGGACTATATATAAGCCTCCCCTCCCCCAAGTGGCATCTTGGAATAGAAGCAGGAGAAGATAAAACAGGCTTCAGGGATTGATTGCTTTTTATTTGAATGACATTATTTTCTTTTTAAATTTTTATTCATTTTAATGAGAAAAAAAGATAAAATAGCAATTAAACAGTTTTAAAACAGGTTAGTAGGACGTTGGACAGTAATTAGTACATTGTTTATTGTTGTCTGTGTAGTAGTTATTCGGAGGACAAGACGCAGACATGATATCTTGCCTAAAATATTAGTACAAACTTTTATTCTCAGTGAATTAAGAAAAAGTAGCTGTTTATCTATCCTAACTCATATGTATATATATAATATATATATTCATTTCCTTCCCTTTTTTTTCCATATTTAAATGGCAATGGAATACCCATCTCTGACAAAACTAAACAAAAAGGGGATACAAATGAAGGACCATTTTGTATCTGTATATACAACATAGTTAGGATAGATATACAGCTACTTTCTCTTAATCCAATGAGAAAAAAGATTTGTCCTAATAGCGTTTGGACAGGATATCATGTCTGCATCTTGTACTATGAACAACCACTACAAAGACAACAGTATGCAATGTACTAATTATTGTAACTGTCCTACTAACCTGTTTTGAAAGTGTCTCATTGCTACTTGTTTCTCAATAAAATTAATAATAATAATAAAATAACCTAACAACAAATCTAATATCACCTGTGAAGAAGAAGCCAGACTCCAAATACTTCAATAGAGAATGAGTAAAATGTTCAGTGAGGAAAATATTTCATAAAAATTCATGAACAACAAGCATATAAAATTTGTAAACTTTTCAACGTTTAATAAGATTGTCCTTTCCAACTGGGTTCAATTCAAATAACTATATGGTAAAACAGTAAGATACATTTGTTTGATTTTTCTGTTTCTAAAGTATTTTCATAGTAAAAACACAAATGTTCTGCAGTCCCTTTCCAAAAGTGACTCACACAGGAGAAGGTATCAAATAGAATACTCATTCCAGAAAAAGACTTTGATTCTTTATTATTTATTATGGCACCTTCTGGAACAGTGGAAGAGATATAAAAGAATTAATGTTGCACAAGTTTGTTACCCAGTAAATGTTCGCACTTGGTATCTCTGAAAGAATCATCCTATTCTAATTCAGCAGATCCACAATTGGTGTAGTTGCTACACTTTATGGAAGAGTTTCTTGAAAAGTAAAAGAACAACCCTGAGAGTGATTAGCAATTATATTCTTCTACTGTATGAAAGAAAACAGCAACAGACATAAATACTAGTGTTCACTTTTTAAAGAGTACTTAAATACTTCATCCTAAGTTCATAAATTGTTATTATTTCTTTTTCTTTTTTGCAGAACCAGGGATTGAACTCAGGCCCTTGCACTTGCCAGAGAAGCACTTATTCCACTGAGCCATCTCCCTGGCCCCAGTTGTTCTTATTTTTGGTCAATGATTTAAACAAGGTATGTTTTTTGTATAGTCATTTAGGTCTACAGTTAGGTATGAGTAGGTGTACATATTTACAATTGATTTTATTTTTCAATTTTACTTTATACCTAAACATACTTTGTGGTATACTGTCATATTTTGTTTTTACTTTAATTTTTTAAAATGTATTTAGTACAGGGACTACAGGTTCTCACTACACAGATGGGACTAGTAGGGATTCTCCTGTTTTCAGCCTCCCAAACACTGTGATTACAGGGGCGTATCACCACGCCCAGTCTCAATGTGCCCTGGGGGCAAGGCTACAGGGTACATCAGGGGTGGAACTGTCCCTGTGACTGCCTAAGCAGGGACTTTAATCAGCTGAGCTATCTGACTGACTGGATAAGGTGATGCTTTGATAGTGTGTACATTGTGTAATGTTGAAATCTTGGTAATTAGTATATCTCCATAAACTTCCTTTATTTGTGGTAAGAACATAAAAAATACTCATCTGTGAAATAAGGAACACTTTATTTTTATCTATATTTTCACGTCTAATTGCCTATCTGTATAAGAGAACATCAAACTTTATTCCTCCTTACCCCCTGTAACTATATACTCACTGCATGTTTCCAGTTCTTATGCAGAGATGACTGATAATATCAATGCAAAAAACATGCACACTCTCTCTGAAGTGCAGATAGGTTTTTCTTTCTTTGCTGGTGGTGCTGCTACAGATCAAACCATGGAGCTCCCGTCCCCAGTTCAAGACACAATTTTTGAAGTTGGAGAGGAGCTTTAAGTTCAATTTCTACATGTCACATATAAAAGCTGGTGACTTGCCCAGGAGCCTCTCTGAATCCATCTGTGTCACAGCTAGTATTAGGAGAGTCTCTCTTCTGGATTATTCTCTGCTGTACTCATTACCTCACCCATAGTGGAGCCACCAACCTACTCACACACTGTGCGTGACAGTGGCCTTACCAAGATTACGAAGAGGCTGACCCACTAACCAGATACTCGTATGTTCTTTCCAGACAAACCTGCAATCTCCTTGATGGAATCTTGGAACAATATACCTCCCTGTGTACAGGAGAGTGACATCTCTGATGACCAGAACAACATCAACCACTGAAGTTTGTTGGGTGTGAAGAAGGGAGACTTATAATCTAAGACACTGTAAGTGGAGCATTTTACTTGCATTGACTGTAGCCCTCAGGAGCAAATAGTGTACATGTTAGCCATAAATGTGTTTTTACTTTACAGTTAAATTGAGGCAGCTGAACGGACCTGCTGAGTAACTGGACGAGTTTATAAAACTCTGGGTATGTTGAATGCAAATCAAAACACACATCACCGGATCAGTGTCTATTCTGGGATTATTAAAAGATAATGTTTACACTGATGAACCCCCTATGGAAATAAGGGTCTAAATTTGCTTTTTGGGGGGTATTTTTCACATTAATGTATCTCTCTTTATTTGTTGCCTTTCAGTGGCAAAGTGACAATTTAAGTACAAATAAACTTTGTTGTGAAAAACTGCACAAGTCAATGTGTTTTAGAGAAGCTAGTGGAAGAGTTGAGAGTAAACTTACTAGTTTAGAAAATATTATGTTACTAAAAAGCAACCACACTCGAATCTCTCCAAGTCGAGCAAGTCTCAATGCAACTCAAAGGGGCAGAGCCTGCTTCAGCTGTGTCTGTGGTCAAGGGAGAACTTGGTGTGCGTGGATAGTGACGTGGATGGTGCACCACCTACATTCATTATCCACTTCACAGCACACAAATTCTCTCCAAGGCATTGTGCCTTGTCACTGAGAGCTCCTTTTGTGCTGGGATGAACTCACTGTTTTTATTTTATTTATTACTGTTTGCTGTGCCTCTGTGTACAGCGTCCATATGCTTCATACCCTGTCCTGCCGTAAAACTCAAAGCTTTATTTGTTTATGAGGGTATCAGGAAGAGCTCAGCGCAAGTGTTTCTGTGCTTAACTGAAACACAACGTTGTCCCAATTCTCCAAGTGGAGGAAGTGCGGCAGAAACAGGCCATTACACACGCAGCAAGACCAACATCCAGATATGTGAATGATGTTTTCAGCGAGAAACGGCCAAGTAGGTACCATAAAACAAAAACTTAATATCGGCAGCAGGGTTGATGCTAATTGATTATTAAAAAAGTGACAGGAAAGAAATCAATGGATTTCCCAAAAATAATCCTCTAACTGAACAGCACTTTCTTTTAATTTAGTGGTAACTGAAAATTTATTTTGAAGCAAACTGAGATTTTGTGAAAATGAAGAACAAAACCTTGTTTTGCAAGCGATTGTGACACTTGAATTCCCTGTAACGCTGATGAACAAGATCATTAGGTAGAAATGAAAAGGGAAGACAGATTAATTTTGCGGTGCCCTATTCTATTACAGGCTTGAGTTTTTCCTTTTGCCTCCTTTTTACATATTTAGGCAAGTGATGATTAGCTTCAAAAGAATTGTAGGGCTATAATCAGACACCAAAATTGTCTTTGTAGTTGCTTTGCAATGCATAATATGTTAATAACCTGTTCATTAAATTGGTATTTTTCTATTCAAGAAAAGGCCCTCTGTATCATCAAGCTTGTTTGACTATTTCACAGAATGAACAATAATCATATTTTGGAATAACATGCAAGATTCTAGCAGCTTATTGTTTTGTGGCTTACCTCAACGTGGGCAAAATGAGATCTAAATTTTTGTACAGGACTGCTCCAAGAACAAAGACAGAGGATTCATCTAATTCTGGAAAGAATACAAAGAAAAATATTAGTGAAATGGCAAGAAACATCATGTCCCATTATACTTTCATAGGCAAGCCGCTAGTGGATCCCTGTGCCTGTTGAGGCCAAGATGAAGCTGGGGAGTTGAAAGCATTTGTGCTTGTCCATGGGCAGTGTAACTGGTACAGCCTGTACATGAATGTTAGCTGGAGAAGATACAGTTCGGGCAATTTTACATCAAGAATGAATCTTTCTATCAGAATATAGAATAATCATCTCTAGATACCTTTAAAGTACTTAAATTCCCAATGATAGAAAGACCCAGCTTTCTTATGTAACAATCAAAATGTTACGATAAAAATAATCAAAGTGAGAATTAAGTCCACAGTGTTGTTTTGTAAAATAGCCACTCATTGTATTTACTTTTAATTTTTTTTTAAGATTTATTTATTTTGGGGCTGGGGAGATGGCTCAGTAGAATAAGTGCTTGCCTGGCAAGTGTGTGGGCCTGAGTTCAATCCCCGGTTCAGCAAAAAAAAAAAAAAAATTATTTATTTGGTACAGCTCAGACTCATAGTGAGCCTTCTATCTCAGCATCCCCAGTGCTGGGATCACCACGCCCAGTTTCAGTGGCAGGCAGGGTGTGGGGCTGGCATGGCATGTGGTACTGGGGATCAAACCCAGGTCCTTACACTTGCCAGGCAGGTGCTTCGACTGCTGAGCTAGCTTTCCAGCCCTAGCCATTCATTTTAGAGGCTACTTGAAATGTTCTTAAAACTAAACTTCTAAAATGTATTTCTAAACAACAAAATAATGTCTTCAAATTGAAGCAAGTTTAAGTAAAGTTAACTTTGCCTGGAAAACACAACCTATTCACAACATCTGAAGATAAAATATTAGACCGCACGTATACACTGGGATGAAGACATCAGGATTGAGCATATCATGCTCGGGTATTGAACTTGAAATCATCATTTTTCCTTCCCACTTTAATAGAGCCTTTCCTTCAGTAAATCCAGAGTTGTGAAAACAAAATGGACATTGTCTTATTTACAAAACCAGTTTAGACTCCTGATGGCAAAGTGCTTCAGAACTGGACAACATTCGGAGACCTACACCTATTGTTTCATTACACGGCCTCATTAGAAATGTTTTCATTCTTTCAAATGAAAAGCTTACACTCTTTCACATATTTACCTTTTGACGACACAGGAGTGAATATGCTTTTCGGAATAACCACTCTGTCTTCTGAATTCCGGGCCCAGTCCACCATTCCTTTCCGCCCTTTCATCGGGAAGTTAATGTCTGTGAGAACGGAGGCGGCGGGCAGCTTCTGAATGCTCGCCACTGGTAAGAGAGAAACCAGAACATCAGACGGAGTCGCCTCAGTAGCCAGTGTCAACTGCATCTCTTTTGGGGTAAAACGTGTTTCTTGAGCGCAGCATATTGTTGGGTTTTGTTTCTTTTCTTTTTCTTTTTTTTTTTTTTTCTATTTTAGTACAAGGTCTACAGGGTATCTCTACACAGATCCGACTCATAATGATCCTCCTGTGTTCAGCCCCCAAGTGCTGGGATTACAGGTGTGCAACACCACGCCCAGTCTCAGTTGCCCTCTCAGTGTGCCCCTGGAGTGGGGCTGGCATGCCACACTGGGGATCGATCCCCTGTCCCTGCGTAGGCAGGCACTTTAGTTCACTGAGCTATCTGGCCAGCTGCATCTTCATTCTTGATTCACTCTGCCAGTCTGTGTCTTTGGATTGGTGAGTTGAGAATATTTACACTGATGGCTAACTGACACATATTGGCCTATCTTTTTCATGTTATTTTCCTAGTTGTTTCCCTGTCTTTCTCCTGTTTGGTGGCTTCTTTCTATTGGTATTAATGTCACAAACAGTGAAAGGACAACTCCCAGAGTGGGAAACAGTTATAGCCAGTTTTCCCTCAGACAAGGGATTTATATCTAGAACATACAAAGAACTAAAAATTAAGGACATGGATAAAAAAGCCATATTACTTAGAGAGGCAGAACTATCAAAATTCAAACAGTACAGCACCAATCATGCAGAACCACAAGGACAAACTACAATATTTATCAAATAGACCAATAATAATCTTAATATTTTGCATAAAATTGTAAGTAAAAAATGTATATATGTTAATGGAAAACTGTATCTTTATCAGTCTTAGCTATTTTAATGGATATTGAAAGAAATCACAGATTATACATTTGACTATAATTTTGTTATAGGTATTAGTTCCATATACATTAATGTTATATATACATATAGGCACAATAGATTATTAAGATTTAAGATACTAAATAGTGAAACATTTACAGTGTACTCACATTATCAATGAAAAAGTGTACTTGAAATTTTACACACATCTATTTTTCTCAGCATTAGTACATTAAATCCCTCCAGTATCCACTGGAGGATTTAAGTGGAAAGATAATAGGACAAATCACACAAAGTATCACAGTAGGAATGTTAAAGTGAAAAAGTACTAGGCCATTTAAGTGGATTTCATTTTTAAGCAACTTGTAATTCACATACTTATTTATTTATTGAATTTTTTTGTGTATGGTACCAGGGATTGAACTCAGGACCTTGCACTTGCCAGGCAAGCACTTATTCCACTGAGCTATCTTCCCAGCCTGGAACTTGTAATTTAAATCAAGAGAGCAGTACAATTAATAATTTAAAAATATTAGTTGTATAAATATATCATTATACCACTGGCTTAATTTCAAATTAAACTGGCAATGAATTATTGCATCACACTAGTGAAATTAAAGTTTATTAAAGCTCTTTCAGGCTATTACACACATCTATGATCAAAACAGAAGGGAGTTTCATTTGTACAGTAAATTGACATATTAAGTTTTTAAAAGGATTTTTAACTAAATTATTGAAGGGAAAAAGGCAATGGGTACACATAAATCACTTATGGATGCTAAATGCTATTTTGAATAACAGAATTATAGTTTCTTCAATTTTTATTTATTTATTTTTTGGTACCAGGGACTGAACTCAGGCCCTTATGCTTGCCAGGCAGGCACTTATGCCGCTGAGCTATTTCCCTGGCTCTTCTTCAATTTTTAAAACAAGACACTCGTGCATCAGGGGCCGTGTCCTAACAAGCTGAGAGTACAGATCCTGCGCTAGGGACAGAGGGACAGAGCAGCATGTTCTTCCTGAGTCTCTGGAACTTATTCAGTGTGCACAACCAAGTACATTTTGAGTTCCTTTGACTCTAACTTTCACTGGCTTGTGATTTAGAGAAAATTTATTACACTGCTTTGTCCCCAAATCTGAAGAGACAGAAGGAAGGCTTTTCTTTCACACATTTAGTTACTCTGATAAAGGAAAACAAAAATAAGGTCTCAGATGGATGATCTCGGAGGTCTAAAATTTTCCTATGCTGAAGAGAAAACAGAAAATAAATACAGAGAAATTTAAAGGTGGAAGAGATCCAGTATGTATTGCTGCACACTGTAAATGTTGATTGAACACCACATTAGCCACGCTGTAAGCTGAAATACTGATAGAGGCGTGCGTCCTACTCATGAAATACATTCTGTCTTCACTAAGTCCAAAAGGTACATAACTATTCTATTATGATTACATGGGTTACACTGGATTAGTAGGAATAACAGAGATGAAAGAAATATAAAAATATCTTGGGCTGGGGAGGTGGCTCAGTAGAACACACACTTGTCTGGCAAGTGCAAGGGCCTGAGTTCAATCTCTGGTTCCACCAAAAAAAAAAAAAAATCAAGGAAAAATTTCTTAGGGTACCTATTTAATTTGTAAAACAAATATTTTAAACTGCACATTCTTTACAATGAGAACTGCACAAAAAACAAAAGAAAATTATTCACTGATTAGGTAAGGAATATAGTTTTTTTTTTTTTTTTTTTTTTTTTTTTTTTTTTGTGGAACCAGGGATTGAACTCAGGCTCTTGTGCTTGCCAGGGAAGGGCTTATTCCACTCAGCCATCTCCCCAGCCCCTGGAATGTAGTTCTTTTAACACACACACACACACACACACACACACACACACACACACACATTAATTCTGTGTGATTTGCAATTTTCTCTTCTTCTTTTTTTTAATTTAGGACAGGGTGTACAGGGTCTCACTGTGTAGATCAGATTCATAGTGAATCTCCTGTTTACAGCCTCCCAAGTGCTGGGATTACAGGCACGCACCACCACGCCCAGTCTCAATTGCAGTCTCAGGGCACCCCAGACGGGGGGCCTGCACTGCATGCCAAAGATCAAACTCTTGGCCCCTGCATCTGCCTAAGCAGGTGCTTTAATTCACTGAGCTATTTGGCCAGCCCTGCAATTTTCAATTAAATGGTAACTAAGATATGAAAACATGTCTCCTGAGAAGTGTTATCTTATTTTATAATCTATTTTAATGGACTAACAAAAACGGTGCATCTTTATACACAATGTGTTGCTCAGAGTATGTACAAATTATGAATAGGCAAATGAGCTCATTAGTATATGCATTTCCTCAGATACTTCATTGTGTAGTGCCAACATCTTACTGCAGATTTATTTTGCAGTAAAGATCCTCTCTCTTAGCTATGTAGTTCATAAACATCACATTTTCAATAAAAGCATTATAAAATGGGTTTTAAACACTAATCTTCAAATTATCTTTAAATATATTTTTGAAATATATGAGCAACTTAGGGGCTGGGGAGATGACTCAGTGGAATAATTGCTTCCCTGGCAAGCTCAAGGGCCCGAGTTCAATCCCCGGTTTGGCAAAAAAAAAAAAAAAAAAAAAGTAACTTATTTATTTATTTTTTGTATTTGGTACAGGGTCTATAGGGTCTCACTATGTAGGTCAGACTTGTAGTGATTCTCCTCTTTTCAGCCTCCTAAGTGCTGGATTACAGGTGCACACCTCCATGCCTAGTCTCAATCACATTTCAGCGCCCCCTGGGGGAGAGGCCCGCATGGCCTGCGGGGGATCGAACCCCAGCTGCTGCACTCTGCCTACACAGGTGCTTTAGTCTGCTGAGCTATCTGACCGGCCCTAAAATATGAATAATTTAACACTGTCTGTATTTGTCTCAAACCTACTAGGCAGATGGTCAAGATGACATTTTGGTTCTTTATGACCCTGGAAACATTAGTAAAAAACCCTAAGACTATAACATAATTTTCATATATTAATCATTCGCTTTCATTTCCTGCCATCTTCCAGTTCTTCCTTTACCACATCCTTGAAAGAATCTAATTTCTGATCCCTTTCTTCATTGAGTTTAATGATTCCAAACCCTAAGTTATTTAAACTCCTCACAGTATTTAATCTTTTTTTCTGTTTTGAATTTGGCACAGGGTCTCACTAGGCAGCTTGGACTCACAGTGATCCTTCTGTCAGCCTCCCCAGCTCTGGGATTACAGGCACAAATCACACGCCGGGTTCTAGGTCCAGCACAGCAAGTACTGGGGATTGACGCTGGGCCCTTGCACTTGCCAGGCAGGCACTTAGACCATGGAACTACCTCCCCAGCCCTCCCACATCACCTTTAACATGGGAGCCAACATGTTAAGTGAATGCTATGGAAGAATGGTTAAAAATTACACCTTAACTGCACCCATGGTAAAAATATGCACAGCCCTGACAAAGGACACCAAAGCAAAACACCAGCACATGGTTACCTCAGTTGCTAAATAAAATATAGACCCTGTGCATGCTTAGATGATGGGTCAACTTTCCTCAAAAATTGAAAAAAAAAAAAAAAGCTTTTCTCTCAGGATCTCAGTATTTATAAGAAATCTGAAAGGACATACTGTCCCTAAATAAAGAGGCACACCATGAATGTGCCAAGCATTATCCTAAATTCATTTTGTTTTGTTTTCATTACAACACTAGATTTGATTTTTTTTTTTTTTTTTTGGAAGGGTCTACAGGGTGTTCAGCATCTCACTACTAGATTGGACTTGTAGTGATCTTCCTGTTTACACCCTCCTAAGAGCTGGAATTACAGGTGTGTACCACCATGCCCAGTCTCAGTTGCAGTCTCAGAGTGTCCTGGGGGTGGAGCATGGCTGGGATCAAACCCCCAGCCTCTGCACCTGCTTTCAGGCACTTTAATCTACTGAGCTATTTGGCTGGTGTTTAGATTAAATTTCTTATGCAATAAAAATAGGTGACTCATTCCTATAAACACTGGAGCAAAACCAGCTGAACTTCTATTTTGAAATTTAGACTTTCGTTTGGAATTTGGATTTGTAGGACAGCATTTCTTTGAAAGCATCATGATTTTTCTTTCTATCTATCTCTACTTTAAAAACCTTTATTTTGTGATGGGTCTCTG